TTTTTTTATTATTTTTTCAAAGTCATAAATTTTTTTTCTTTTCGACAAGAACAATTCTCAAAGGAAGTTTTCTCACATTCCGGCTTGAGGCTTCCGCTAAAAATTGAAAAGGGAAATTATTACTCATTCGATTCTAATTATAAAACTCTTATATTAATGTTTATAAGAGTTTTATATCTGTATAAGAGTTTTATATTTAGGATCATAAGAGCATTATTTTTTCTCTGTTCTTCTTTCTTTGCCCTTTATTCTGTTCGTTTTGCCAGCAGAAAATAATCTACTGTTCTTTTTTCCTTATTTATTACTTTGTTTGTTTATACATAAACTTGGCGAAAATGTCAAAGAAATGGATGTCCAAATGGGAGAAAGGTGGACAAAGACATACCATAAGTCCAATGTATTTGGTGAGATTCGGTTAATCATGGACTAAATACATTTAGAGAAAATGACACTAAAATACCACTTGAATTCCAAAAAGACAGATAAGGGACCTGAATAAGTAAAATGACAAAGAAGGCTTCAGGTACCAATCTGGAATTTGATTTTTGGCCTAAAGACTGAATTGCCCTTATTGTGTTCGCCTCCTCCCAGCGAAAGCAATTCCCCCCACTCGGCGAAAGAGAAACTGCCCCCACTTGACGAAACCAATCCATCTACTCGGTGAAACTAATCCCTCCCCTCAGTGAAATCGAATCCCTCTACTCGATGAAAGCAATCCCTCCACTCCACGAAACCGAACCCCCTCCAGTTAACGAAACTAAATCCTTCGCATCACCATTCTGTAGAGATTGTTGATTTGGTGGGTTTTGGTTGTGGGAAAGAGGATTTGTAGTGAGAGAGAGAGAGTGAACCGAAGCGGAAAGACGAAGCGGAAATCAGAAAACAATGGCAAGCAATTACGTAACGTAACTGCTGTCATATGCCTGCTGGTTTTTGGTAAATCCCATTACGTGAATGGTAAATTTCACTATACATGTAGTTAATTATGAATTTTACAAAATACATATTGTGATTTACAACTTTGTAGTGAAAGTGACTACTTTGTTAAGGGTTTTGCAACCTGTTTTCAGGAGATAAACAACTTGTTTGTAAAAACTAATAAAATTTGACGCTGAATTTTACAAAACACACAGTGATATTTACAACTTTTATAGTGAAAATGACCACTTTTTAAATGAGTTTTGCAACCTCTTTTCAAGGGATTGACAACTTGTTTCTAAAATCAATAAAATTTGACACTGAATTTTACAAAACACACAGTGATATTTACAACTTTTATAGTAAAAATGACCACTTCTTAAATGAGTTTTGCAACCTCTTTTCAAAGGATTGACAACTTGTTTCTAAAAACCAATAAAATTCCATGCTAAATTTTACAAAACATAGAGTGATATTTACAACTTTTGTAGTGAAAATGACCACTTCTTAAATGAGTTTTGCAACCTCTTTTCAGGGGATGAGCAACTTGTTTCTAAAAATCAATAAAATTTGACGCTGAATTTTAAAACACATAGTGATATTTACAACTTTTATAGTGAAAATGACCACTTCTTAAATGGCTTTTGCAACCAGTTAATTCAACGTGACTACAAAAGTTGTCACTTTTATTAGTTTTTACAAACAAGTTGTTTATCTTCTGAAAACAGGTTGCAAGACCCATTAACAAAGTAGTCACTTTCACTACCAAAGTTGTAAATCACAATATGTATTTTGTAAAATTCATAATTAACTACATGTATAGTGAAATTTACCATTCACGTAATGAGATTTATCAAAAACCAGCAGGCATATGACAGCAGTTACGTTACATAATTGCTTGCCAGTTTTCTGATTTCCGCTTCATCTTTCCGCTTTGGTTCACTCCCTCTCTCACTACAAATCCTCTTTCCCACAACCAAAATCAACAATCTCTACATAATGGTGATGCGAATGAGTAAGATAATAGCATTTCCAACATTCTTCTTTCCTTCTTCCCGCATTTCATCAGCGTCGGTCTTCCTCTCTCCTTTCTCTCACTTTCAGCTTTCGGTCTTCCCGCATTTCATCAGGGCATTTGGGTCTTTTGGCCGAAAATATGAATTCCAGATTGGTACCCAGTGCCCTATTTGTCATTTTGCTTATTCAGGTCCCTTATCTGTCTTTTTAGAATTTAAGTGGTATTTTATTGTCATTTTCCCATACATTTATGCTTTTTTTCCCCAACGAATATATTCATGCTTTTTTTTTTTGGCATCAAAATATATTCATGCTTTTTGTGCATTAATGAAAATTTTATAGCATGAAAAATGAAAAAAACAGGAGGTCACATTAGAGGTTTGACTTAATAGCGTGTTATAAAAGTAGTTTTCCTATATACGCAATTTTTTAGCTATCAAGTTTTTATTTTAATTTAAATATAGTACAATATGATTTTTTATTAACATATAATAACTATATAATTTATCTAGTTCTTGAAAAGCACAGCCGCACAGACTTTGATAATAAGTTGCAGCATGCAAGGTTCATTTACGGATTTTTTTCCAGCAATTTTTTTGACCTGAAATCTGTGAATAATTTCTTTTCTTTTTTCTTTTCCTTTGCCTCACTTATGTATAGACAGCAATTCCTTATCATTTTTTTAAAATCATATTAGTAACGTTCTGATTGAAAGTAATATGCTAATTAGAGAATCCCATCGTTTTCTAAAAATAATCATTTATTTTTCATAATTTGATACGAAATTCAGGGGGGAAAATAAACTTAGATTTTTGTACCAAATGTCCTATTGAAATTATTTAAGGATAGAGTATTTTTCAGTTCAATTTTTAAAGCTATATACCTATTTTAAGCATTCATATCAAATCAAAGGTTGAGATGTGACGGGTTTTAAACTAACATCAATTTCAGTGTGTGTGTGAGAAACCTATAGGTCTCACTGAAAAAAAAAATTTGTTTTTCAGCGTTAACAATACAAAATGAAAACAAGTAAACAACACATCAAGGAAAAAAAAACCGGACCGGACCGGCCGGTTCAACCGGAAAACCGGTGAACCGGTCTGCAGTCCGGTCTGGTTTAAATATTGGACCGGTGGTTCATTGAACCGGTGGAAAACCGGTTTAACCGGAAAAAACCGGTAATAAACCGGGTAAAATCCGGTTCAGTGGGTTACCGGTTATATTTTTTTCACCTGTCAGCTATCTTAAACGGCACCGTTTTATTTAAAAAAAAAACCGCCTCTTCTCTTTTCCGGTTTTCCCGTCGAGTTCCCTCATTTCCCTTCCCTCTCCTCTCGCTCGAGCAGCACCGGCTCCTCCCTCCTTCAATCGGAGAACAAAATTGTGGAAATCATATTCTGAGCAGAGAAAAGAAGATCCGAAGGTTTGAAGAAGAGAGACCTGTTTCCCAGATGATGCAGGAGTCAGATTTTCAGGATTGAACGAATGAGAACTTAAACTAAGCGTGTGAATTCTACGACTAGAGCACTATGGAAGAAAAAGAACAGCTTTTGACTGCAAATTTCACTTACTTTTCACTGCCTATTGGAAGTTGAAGCTTCCCTTGAAGAAAACCAAATCGTGTCCATCACCGACAGTGAGAGAGAAAGCTAACAGTGCCAGGGGAAAATATGAACACGTTGCTCCGGAAAGTTAGAGAGAGAGAGAGAGAAGAAGAGGAAGAAAGGTCAAACCTTTTGCAATGATAAGAATTGGCTCTGTGCTTTTTGTACGTGTTGATATATGATATTGGAGGAAAAAGTAGTGGGAGGGGAATTCGGCGCTCTTGCACTTTTTTTCACCTACTGCCAGTCTGCCAAAATCTTTTTTATTGAGATTTCAAAGCCAATGGAGTCAAAAACAGTGGACATAAATTTCAAAGAATTTAAAGTCGATTTTCACAATCTTTTTTATCATGGTTTCAGCTTTCATTGGTAATCTTTTGGTTAAAAAAATTGATTAATATCATAATCAATATGATATTTTTAATATTATGAATTAAATTATATTATTTTAATAGGACCGGTTTGACCCCGGTCTGACCACGGTCTGACCAGTAACCCTTAACCCACTGCCTTGACCGGTTTAATTTCCGGTCCGGTTTTTTGTTCCTTGCAACACATCAATAAATACATTTTCGCCGTGCTCCCCCACAGCGTCGGCGGCAATAAAGAGTAGGGAGGGAGATTGCTTTCAAATACACACACACACACTTTTCTCGTTGACCATTGGGACAGAAACATCGGCAATTCTATACTTTGATTCAATTTTAATTGATTAAAGGGAGTGGTTACTAAGATCACATCAAATCCCTTTCTTCCAAGTCCCAACTAAAATGTAAAAAACTGGCCAAAATGACAATCCAGCAACTAGTCATAAACTTTCATATACCATATTATTGATGTGAGGCCACTTTAATAAAGCATATGCTTGACTTTTTTTTTTTTAATAAATGTAATGAAGTAGCTAAAAAATAAACGAGACTATTACTTATGGTGTTTTTTTTAAAATAAATAAATAAATAAAATTTTTAAAAAAATTAAATAAAAATACAAGCATTGCTTTGTTTCCACTCATATTTTCATTCTCTTTTATGCCTGACATCAAACTAGCTTCTGTCAACATTTTTATTAGTTCATTTATTATTGCCTCACGCAGTGCTATTTCCATCACATGAGAATCGGTAAATTTTCTATCCCCATGCCTAGATAATATGGACAACTGAACTAATCGTATCAAAATCAAACTGATCCAAATTATATTCAAGGTTCAGTTAGTTCAGTTATATTCACTGACTTGAAAAATCTTTGAACTGTGAAGAGAAATCCTACCACATATTATCATAAGACTGTTCTCTTAAATTTTCGTGTCAATTCTCATAGTTTTTTAAAGTCTTCTTGTAGGGCCAAGAGTATTTTAAACGTTTTATGCATCATTTTTTTTAAAACTTAATTTGTATTCCAGCAAAGAATATGTAGTGTGGTGTAAATTTACAATTAAAACAGGAGGCAAGGGCAATGACGAACTGATGGAAAAAGCGGGGGAGAAAACTTATTGGCTCTCAGAAGAATATATAGTGTGGTGTAAAATTAACACCTAATATCTAGGCGTCAATTTTCTCGCAGTTACATGATCCTCGATGGAGAGGAGTGCCATAACCTTTGGGTAAAAACACAACAGGACTCTGATCAATACAAATGGAGCTACCCCAGCACATTAATGAGGTCTTGAAAATCCAAAACGAGCCAATCAGCTTTTGCAGCCACAGATTCTCGAAGTTGAACACCCGCATAGCAGATGAACAGGTCAGCAGCGCCTGGTCTACGAGCCTAAATGGAAGAACACAACAAACAGATTAGAACATGATATAAATTTCAATCACAGTCAGTGGCATATAACTAATGGTCTAAGATCCATGGAAACAAGTAGATTAAGGAAACTACGTCTATACATCAATATCATTATTTGATCTTCTTCTTGTCTATTAAAAAGGTTGAATATGCTTTGTTTGTATAATACGAATGAGACAATAAATCTTTGTTACATGTATACGCATGATTTTACTTACCTCAAGATCGGTTGCCCCGTCCCCTATCATAGCTAATGCTTTGTATTTATGAGCCTGAAAAATCAGTTCGACCAGACTTACAAGCGATGCATTTGGTAAAAATTAATGAGCAGGAGCAACTGAGCAACACTAACCTTCCTGATCTGTTCAACTGCAGTTGCTTTCCCTCCACTCCTTGAAGTATGTTCATTTCTATCAAACCCTACAAACTCTCCAGAGCTTCCAAAAAGCAGTTGATTGGCGAAAATATTTTCTTTTGGGATCCCAAGTATTGATGCAACGGGCTTCACAACACGCGTCTTAGTAAGTGGAAATGAAAAAGTCTATCTAATAATGGATCCTGTTTATGTATGTAAAATAAACTTGCTCATCAACTATGAAAAGCACTACATTGAGCTCTTAGAACTCATGACAATGTTGAAGATGCTCTAAGAATTTAAATATGACAGGCACTGGAAGATATAGACCCTAGTTGCTATTATTTTGGCTGTTATCTTTTTGACTAAAACACCAATTGCAAGACCACTGCTTCTCAGAATAATATACATGCTGGTTTATTTTTTCACCTGAATAAGCATCCTGCTTTAAAAGAACAGCAGCGATGACATTGGTCAAAAGACAGGTTTCTAGTTAAGGAATCTACATCTACAAGCTCTTGGCTGTCGTTCCAAATTCTAAATTCAGTGGAGATTTGATGGCTATTCTGTAACAGATGTGTATTTCAACAGATTATTTTTTTAGTTATACTGAGGCTTGTATAGTCTTTTGGCGAACCATATAGGTACTCAAAACCAGGATGTGCCAGTTTCAAATTTCATCGGGTACAGTATCAAAATGAAGTCATGTGCTTAATATTATCTTTGAGCCAACAATGACGACCAAAAAAAGAAAACTACAGATATTCTCCATACATTGATCATTTGACGAAAGCCTCCAGATATCAGATAAACATCAATGTGCTTAGCCTTCAACTTCTCAACTAACTCTTTAATACCAGGGGAAAGCCTGCATATCAAGAAGTGTTATCATAGTCTGAACTAGATCCTTCAAGATACTCATTAGAAAAACTGAAACTGTGAAAAAGAAAGAACAATAGTAGACGTTGCAATACAGATAATCATCATACATCCAATGTAGACTGTTAAACTCTCCAAATTTGAAGTCTCAATAATGATGATGATGATAACAGATTTAAATATAATGGCATGTCTCTGCTCCAGGCACCATGAAGCTTTCTTGTCACCACCAAAAGCAAGAATATTTGAAATTTGTAGGCGATCAAATAAGAATTTGGTAGAGAAATGATATAGCATTCCTTAGAAATTTAGTTATAGCATTATAGGAGACCAATCTGGGTGTGATATAACATGGCCGTTCGGTACAAGTGAATTAACTCAGTTTTGCTGCGGGCCTAACCAGATTACACAGACTTATCTGTTTCAGATCCCCAGGGGCACGGACAACTGGGTATATGTTAGTTCATGATAGAATTGAGTACACATCTGACACTTGAACCAGTCCTAATTTTGTCTGACAAAGTTTTTACAGCACATGTGATATCGGGTCAAATGGGAGACAAATGGTTGGGAATCAGGTTTTTCGATTCTGCCAAGCTGGAATCTAAGACGAGAATAACTGGAGAAGGATTATTCACTGGGAATAGCATGGCCAATTCCTTATGATTACAAGCCAATCGAGAGATTAGAGGATTATACAAAAAATATAACAATGAAATTATGATCAAAATGTTAAGTCTTCTCAAGAGAATGCACAAGTCAAGAAAATCACAAATACCTTGGGGGTCTTTGCTCAAGAAAATTCTGAACTTGAGATAAAGAAGGACTGAACAAAGATAGTCTAGAAGCCAAGGCATCCTCAAAAGGAACAGAACCACCCATCGCTCTAGGGAAATTCGAAAATTTGATCAGACACGATACGTTAAGCAAAAGTAATCAAAGAATTTTCAGCCAAGCGACCAAACCTAGCAGTCCACTCAGCAACAGCCTTTCCAGCACCGCAGAATTCAGCAAGCTCATCAATACCTTCGTCCAGACAGACAGTGCTGTCGACATCAAAGCACACAGCATCAACACTTCTCCAAAGCTCAAGAATCTCTATCATTTTAAGAAAGCAACTATCAACAGTATGACTCCACAATCGATATTTTCTCTGTTTTTTTTTTTCCTTTCAGATAATTTCAGAGAGGTGGAAAACCTTTGGAAGGCAGCATGTTTTCGGGATGGCCCACTTTTGAGCTCCCCACTGGTTGAGCAGAAGCCACCGTTGTGTTGAATGATACGGACTGCTTCAATAGGCCAATCCGAGTCCCGTAGTTATTCTTCCTCAGATATAGTGCAGACGGAGGAAGAAAACGATATTCAAATTTTCTAGTATTATTACAAACCGGACTGATCCTATAACTCACCAACGCTTCCATGAAATCACCTTCTTCAAAATCTGAAAGGAAAACGTTTGATTTCTAAAATTTTCTCAAAAATTATATTTCTGATCCGAAAAATAACGAATCAAACAACGGTGAAAACTGTTCAAAACACCAAACGGATGCAGCTAATCAACTACTGACATATTCCCCTTTTTTTTCAAAATGATATCGAAGCCAAACAATCTCGGGAGAAACTCACGATCTAATCTATAAGTATTAAGCTGCGTCATCCATTCACATCATGTTACGCACCTCACCAGGCAAGAATGTGAATCTTCTCCAGTGTTGCGAGGGAAAGCCAACTAACTTCTTTCCTCTTGCAAACTGTTGTGACTGGGCATGACGAAGCACATAGGCGACTCCGCTGGTTGGATCTGGGGGCCTGTAGTCTATTTGGGCGAACTAGGCCCAGGAAGTTGCGTTGGAGGGTATGTGGAGCATAGAGGATGAAATTCTGTCTTAATTTATAATATTTCGAAGATATTCAATTGTCCTCAAGGAAATCTAGATTTTGGAGTCACTAAAAATTAAGAAGAGTGTCTGGGTAACTACAAAATCATAATTTTAAAAATACTTTTATGATATACAAAATAAATATATAAAAGAGTTTGTCTTGATTTACAAAAAAGTGATTTTCAAAAGTACTTTTGGAGTTAGGCAAACATGTTCAAATAAGTATAGCAAAAAATGAGTAGTTTTCAAATAGTGTTAATCATGTTCAATTAAGTATAGCAAAAAATCGGACCAAGCTAACATAATCTGATATCCAAGGCTTTAGTCCAGGTAAGGCCATTCATTCTCAAATCATCAACGAGCCACGTTAGGACTCTCAGCTTTAAATACTAGATCTAGGATAACCGGAAATATTGTCACTAAACATTCCTTCATGGATCATTATTAGATTCTATTTTTTGATGCACATGATCATCTTAAAGAGGCAAGTGCAAAGCATACTCAAAATCTTTGGCAACAGAAGAAAGACATTATAAGTGAGACTTTCAGAAGAAGAGAGAAATTTAAAGAAAACTCATGAGGAAAGCACACTAGTATTATACAAAGAACTTGATACAACTTCTTCTGCCCGTAACTAGTGGCAGAGTGGGGTTTATATAGAGGTTCGGTGTCATTACATGACAAATTTTAATAGTAGATATCATTATGACGGGTAGATGTCATAATGACTTGTTATTTAATAATCACAACCACCCTAATAATGACAGAACTACCAACTACTCTAATAATGACAACTACTTTACTTATTACAAGAAGATGAAATAGACTACAGGACGAACTACTTTAAAAGTGGATGGCGACATAAAGTAGTCTTCTGGCGGGTCCTCCTTAGACTATGAAAGTAATAACGGGGATTGGTTTTTCATATCTTCCTGGAAGGATATGGATTTTGACACTTGGCTTGGGAATGACTTTGTTATGTTATGTTCTGACTGAAAAGCCAAAGAACCAAGGAAAGATGGATACATGGGTTGTTCAAGGGAATATAAATACCCTTAAGGATCATCATCTTCTTGAGATAAAGATTCAAAGTCAGTTTCTTCATCTTCAAAGAAAGGAAGAACATGTTATATTTCTTCATCCTGAGCATCTTGTTCTTCGATGACAGATTCGATGTCTTCATCTTCATTGATCATCAGAACAGTCTGCAAGTGTTCTAGTATCTTCACATCCTTTTTGTCTTGTTAGGACAATTTTTTGCAAAATGTCTTTTTTTCTTGCACAAATAGCACCTGTCAGGTTTCTTTGAATAAGGCCTGCGCCTTTTGAAATATCTCAAGAAAGGCTTTCTATATCTTATTTTGGAATAAGAACCTTTTGGATATCTGAATCGACGATAATGAGATTTTCTCTTGGTAGAACAAGAGCAATCCTTATGGTCTTTGCACTTTATCTTCAGATGAGGTTTTTTGCAAGCATGCTTTAGTTTTGACTGTCCTTTCAACATTCCTTTGAAGAATTTTTGTTGTTCACAGAGCTTGTCCATAGTTGCCAATGCCAACTGATATATTTCTCTTATAGAAATACCAGACATATTTCTATGAAGTGCATTGATAGTTCTATAAAGTTCTGGTTGCAGTTCATCTAGAAGAAAGGCAATAAAAGTATGCCTGAGATTGACATCATTAGCTCTTCCGAGCATGTAGTATTTTTCAAACATTCTCTAGAAATGCTTTTGCAAGTCTCTTTTATCCAAGGAACAATATTTCATCTCAAAGTATTTTTGACAATGCCTTTAGTCAATGATCTGGAAATCGCCAATGACTTCCTTGTGAATGAGTCCCAGAAGAGTTCTTGCATTATCAACTCTAATAGCTGCTATCTTTTGGTAATCACTGAGGTTTTGAAACCATTCTCTTAATGTTCCAGTCAGTCTTAAGAGAAATTCTGTAAGAACTTCCTCAAGATTTGTATTATGCCTGGCAAGCTGCAAATCAATCCATGCGCAGAACTCATGGAGTTTGTCTCCCTATTTTTCCAGAGGGAGGTCATCAAAAGTGAACCATAGACCTGTAGTTGACCTGTAATATGTTCTCTTAGGCTCAGATGTATCAGGGACAAATGGTTCTTCATGAAAAAGATCTTCAACTGTAGGATCTGGTTGGACCATTGCTACTTTGAAAATATCAACATGATATGTTTCAGAGTCAGAATTAGAACTATACTCAACTGAAGGATCAGACTCATTTTCAAAGCTGTCATCTAAGGATGACTGATCTCTATTTAAGAACTGGAGAGTGGCTATGGTTTTGTTTGGATTAACAACTTCTTTTCTTTTTTCCCTGTCTGGAGGAGAAGTGTGTTTTGGTGGAGATGATGGTAGAGTTCTTATCATAACTCATTGGGAGGATGGTGTTGGTTCAATGGGTTTAGTGTATGAGGATAATGGTTGAGAAAGTCTTTCAGGTGAAGGGAAATGAGGTGGTCTTACTAGAGGTCTAGGAAAAGGATTTGGTTGTACAGGTAGAAGAATTGGTTGAGGTTTTCTTGATCATCTTAAAATGGGATAAGACATTTTGAAAACCTTGCTATAATCAGTTTCTTTGAGATAAGAAGGAGGTGATGTCATGTATTTAGGAATTTGGAAACTAGAGGGTTAAGATGAATAAATGGTCATAGATGGTTTGTGAATGATCTTTTGTAATATCCAGCTCAATTCTCTGCAAATCCTTTCGGATTTGTGACAATTCTTGCTCTTTCCTGGTAAATTCTGGTCCAATGTATCCTATCTCGATAAACTGCTTCAGATCTGCATCCAGTTGATAAGCCTGAAAAGACAAGGTCATATAAAGCTGTTTGACTTGATCAGAGATTTGTCAAATCTGCTTGTCAAAGTATCAGTTCTGAGAGTCAGCAGGTCAACTTTTAAATCAATCTTTAACAGAGTTCTATTTTGATAGATTGCATTCTGAGACTGCCAGTTAAGAACTTCTTCTGTGGTTGAAACTGGCCCAGCCTCACCGGTAGGAGTAATTTCTATTAGGACAGAGAAAGGTTCTGCTGTAACCTTTGTTTCTCTATTAGTTCTTCTTTCAAGTGGAGAAAAATCCTACTCATACAGATCCATCGTTGGTATACACGAGATGGATTGCTGAATAACAGGAATCATTGGATCTGGCTTTTGTTTAGGAAGGAGATCTTCATGACCTATTTCTTTTAGCAAATCATATAGAGATAATCAGTCCTTATCAATTCAGAGTAGAAATGGACAATACGTCTTTTCTTAGAATGCTTAATCCTAAGGGAAAGATTTTACCAGACAGCCAGTTACTCCGATGGAAAGCTGGCTCTCTCACTATAAATTCACTGTCCATCACCTTAAAGGTCACTAGAACACTATCGCAGATTTCTTCCTAAGACCTCAGAAAGTTTCTCAGCTTCCAAAACTCTTGTCATTCTCTAAACACCAACTCTTTTTCATCCTAACCATCCCTAAACCAGGAATGCCTCAAAGAATGAGAGTCACTATTTTCCCTCTTGGATCCTATCCTATATCCCCAACAAATGCCCAAAACTTTGCCAGAAGTACTATGTTCTACTGGCTCCAGCATCTTCTCGTAAATACTGGAATTCACCCATATCCTTAGCACTTTGATGCCAATGCTCCATACCTCATCGTACCCATCATCAAAGGATCCATACCAAAGGAATTCTTATGGTACATTTGGTCCTTCTCAACCAATTATACTTGTGCCATAGCATTCTCAACCATAGTCATACATGACCATCTGAATGACCCCATAAACGAAAATTCTCCCCTTATCACACTCCTTGAGATGATTGCTCCTCTTCTCTACTAGAGAGGAAAACTTTAAAAAATTATCAATGATCATAATGTCTGAGACTTGCCATCTCCCAAACAAAAGAGATTTTTCTGTTTGTATACTTTTTTCAGAAACAGTGGTATAAACACTGCCTAAAGGCTTTACACAGACAACCATCTGCTTCTCCAAGTTGCCACTCCCTCATGGCCAAGAAAAGAAAGATTGTTAATAGAGAAATTTAGGAAAACATTAACTACACTTAATCAACCAAATACAGGGGAAGACATTTCATGTCTTTCTCTTGAACCTTTTCCTCTAAGTTCACCGCTAGCCAGCAGCACAACACTTGAAGAATTCCAAAGAGATTCATCATGAGTGTTATCAAACCTCCACCAAATAGGTCACAAGTCCCTCTACCAACAGAAACCTCCCAAGACCCTTATCAAAGAGACTCACAGATTCAACTCACTCAGCCTGAAGGACTCTATCTCCCTCAGCCAAGTTTTTAGTCACAACTTCCATTCATTGCAGGAGAATCCCAGGATCCAAACCAAGATGATGATGATGAGACCCGGCTCGCAGTACTTGAAGAATTCTACTGTACAAGGAGACACTATGATTCAGATGATCCTAACCCAGAAGGCATCATGAACCTGTCCCCTAGCCATGAACCTATCTACAAAGACTAGGGAACACCATCATCAGAAAATCTCATTTTATGTCACTCTGAACACTAGGAGGACCTGCTAGAAGATTACTTTATATCACCATCCACTTTTAAAGTAGTTCGTCTTGTAGTCTATTTCGTCTTCTTGTAATACATAAAGTAGTTGTCATTATCAGAGTAGTTGGTAGTTATGTCATTATTAGGGTGGTTGTGATTATTAAATAACAAGTCATTATGACAACTACCCGTCATAATGATATCTACTATTAGGACTTTGTCATGTAATGGTACCGAACCTCTATATAAACCCCACTTTGCCTCCAGTTACGAGCAGAATGAGTTGTATCAACTTCCTTGTATAATACTAGTGTGCTTTCCTCATGAGTTCTTTCTAAATTTCTCTCTTCTTCTGAAAGCCTCACTTATAATGTCTTTCTTCTATCATTAGAGATTCTGAGTATGCTCTGCACTTGCCTCTTTAAGAGGACCCTGTGCATTAGAAAATAAAATTTGATAATGATTCGTGAACGAATGTTTAGTGACAATCTTTCCGGTTATCCTAGATCTTGTATTCAAAGCTAAGAGTCTTAACATAATCTGTTGATGAGTTGAGAATAAATAACCTTATCTGGACTAAAACTTTATATATCAGACTATGTTAGCTTTGTCTATATTTTCTTCACTTCCAATTTTTATTTTTATTTAAAACGAGTAAAAAGTTTTCAAATATTTGGAAATTTGAATTTTCCTCAATTCCTCCCAAGTCCAAGCCTTTTCCTTGCAGATCGGTGCAGGCGCTCATACGTAGGCCGCAACAGCGCAGGGTGTCATATCCACGTCGCATCAAATTTCAACCAATGGAAAAGGCAAGTTTCATTGGGATTTGCATTGGGTGCTCATCAGATCTGGACCGTCCAGATCCGATCTGGACGGTTCAGAATTTATGTTATTTTTATTTTTATTTTTTAAAAATAATTATTTTAATAGGTATAAAATAAAAAATAAAGATAATCTCTTAACTATCATACTTTTAAAAAATAATTTTTTCTATTTTAAAATAATTATTTAAAAATATTAAATCTGGACCGTCCAGATTAGATCTGGACGGTCCAGATTTCTCATCACTTGATGAGCACCGAATGCAGGCCCGTTTCATTGAGGGAGGAATGAGAGAATACAAAAGCAAACAGAAATCGAAATGCAAATAAAGTAAGTTGACTAAGGAGTAAGGAGGGAGGACCGAGCACTGAGCAGGCATCGCATCACACTCTCGCTGTTTTCTAGGTTTTGGTTTTGTAAAAAAGAGAGACTAAAAAATAAAATTACAGCGACAAATTAAAAAAAAAAAGGCAGATCACCGGCAAATTCTACTCAAAGAAAGTTTGAACAAGCAGGAGACATAATACAATATTGAACATCACCATCTAATTACACCAAAAGAGAATTTGAAGAAGCTCGTCTAGTGCGATCTATGCTTCTATGATAGAAAGTGCAACTCAGATATTTCTGAACATATACTGATTTTAAAACGCCACAATTTTCAGCAGATTAATATCAAGAATGATTCGTGAATTGTAACTACAAATTTTCAAATAGTTATTTTTAGCTAATCATACTATCCACCAAATTAAGTCTGAACTGCAAACGTTGAGCGAGGAGCCCACGTTCATGAAAACATTAAGGGCCTGTTTGGGTGTTCCAAAACCGTGGTTTCAGAAGTACTTTTCCGTAAAACAAGGTAACCTCCTTCACATATTTACTTCGTAATCCGTAAAAACACTTCTGAAATCATGGTTTGGTTTCTATCCAAACACTCGTTTAGACTGAAAAGGTATTTGGAAACATTTAAAAATATTTTTTTGTAAAATGAGATAATTTTTTATTATTTATATACTATAAAATTATTTTTAAAATTATAGTTTTCATTCTATCCAAAATGTCTCACCCGATTTTTCATTCTTTTGGCTTTACATTTTACCACCCTTGGACTTCGGAGGGACAAAAAATCCCTTCTGCTTGACGATGATCGAAATTCAAAAGCCATAACTGGCTGATTTCTGGGAAATAATTCTCACGACTCAACGCAGCAAGTATCTCACATTGATGAGAACTCTTTGCTCATAATATGAATTAAACGTATGATCTTACCATTCATATTTCAAAAGTTAGGTTAGAGCAGAAAATACAGGAAGCTGCAGCCAAAGAAGAAACTACTTCTCTACATCAAATTCTGAAAACCAAAAGGCCCATCAAGATTTTCACTTCCTCGACTGGAGCTCAACCAGCCTCTCCGAATTTTTTCGCACTCTTCCGCGTCGGCCAAGTCAATCTTCGAAATCACGACATGGAAAATCATCTTGAAGTCTCTTCTGTGGCCAGTCTCTTGAGCCAGTAAAACGGCGTGGCTTTGAATATGAGGTTTCAGATACTGGCCCAAACCGGCACTGATCGGCAACGACGCCAGCTGTGCCGAAAAGATATAATCTCGCCGGTGCAAGGAAGCAGGGCCGTTATCAACAAGAAGCCCCAGAGGAATCTTGAACCGCAAAGTGAGCTCCGGCGAACTGACATAGCGGTCGTCCAGGCTGACTCTTCGGCCTTTCATGGGTTCCAAGATCAGAGCGTAGTTTTGTCGTATGCGAAGCTCGATTATGGCCTCCGAAGAGTTAACACTGGCTGGCTTGTCTTCTTCTGAAATCTCGGAGTTTACAGTGAAACTATAGCCGGTGTGCGGTAGAGGGGTGAAGGGCGGGTAAGTAAAGAGGGACATAATATCAGTGAGGGTTATATGAAGAAGATAGACCCAAATGTGTTTATATAGAGACCAGAGAGTGAAAGTCGGTGTCGATAGAAATAAGGATTTCTTGAGTCTCAAGTTAAATTTCTTTGTAATGGTGAAGGAGCGCAATAGCAATAATCTGAGCGCCCAGAATTTGCAGAGTAATTCTTCAGAAGAAGAGGGGTTTTCTTGCCACCGGCCCAAGAAGGGTTTGAGGAAGTACAAGAATTGCGGGTAATCGTTAGTGAAGCCAAGATGATACCCAACGCGCCTTCTTGAAGGGGAATTTATTTCCTTGGGCGAGTTAATTAATATTGTTCTGATATTTAGTAATTTTTAATTTTTTAATATTTTTTCTAATTTATATTTATAATTGATTTTCTAAAAATGGCAACCAAAATTTTTGCTATTAGAATTCATTTTTTTTTATAATTTACAACTAAGTTATCCTCAAAACTTTCGGATTAAAGATACTAGTGCATTTGAGTTTGCTAAGCGCGTCAAGATGCATTAATTATATAAGCTTATAAAGTTGCGGTCATTTACTTACATTTTTTTTAATAAAAAATCTTAACATTATTTTAGGTTCCTTTGCGATGCGTGATTCTCAATTGCTGATATAAGAAAGAAACAAAGCGAGAGAAAAAAAATTATAAATCGTGGCGTTCATTTCCGAAGCCACAACTGTAATCCGAAGTCTCAAGAAATATATGAGCGCGCGCTTTTAAAACCCTAGAAGGTGGGAGTTGAGCATTGCCTCTGCTATTGCCATGGGGGCTGACAACTCATCTTCCGGGAGAATACAGGCTCCTCACGCTCATTTCTTTGGTAAGTTACTGACTTCGAAGTGGCTCTAATTTTAGGTTAATGAAGAAATTTCGACGGCCATGATTAATGAAAAAGAGAAAGTAGAGACAACTGGATGCGCTAGTTTAGTTATAAGTTGTTCCAAAAGTGGAGGAAAGATTTGAATGATTTATTTATTATTTCAGTCTCATGGGACAAGAATTAACGTATTAAGCTTCACTAGAAGTAGCGCTGGTTATTCTCATAAATATCTTTCTTGGGGAATAGATGCATTACCGTGATCATTTTTAAGCTGGTACATCAGTTACTTTGCTTCTCTGGGAGAAATGTTCGAGTGGTGTTGAAATCACTTCTTGTGGGGAGCAAAATCGATGTTGTGTTCACATGCTAATTTGGGGATATTTACAATTCAGATCACTTGGTGGCTTGATGTGCTACATGACTTTAAAGTGTTTGGTTGTCCTTGCTTTTTCCATTCTGATGGTCAATTAAGTAATCTGAGGGAAATTTAGATATGCCTGTCTAGTTGGCGTAAAGTATGTATTATTTTTCTTTTTAAGTTATTGAGGACATTATTTATCTTGTGAAAAATGTGTTCATAATATGACATGAAGTCCAATGATCTGGTATTCTAGAAACCGCATGGAAAGATGCTGGCCCTTTTGCTGTGGTTCGTGAAATTTATTTTTGGCTTTGTTTGGAAGGTGCAAAGAATGAAAAATGACTTCCTTTGAAGGCATTTATTTCATCTCAATAGATAATAAATGCGTGTTCATGCTGTCTTGTTTTCATTTCTTCCAAGCAGAGCTTATTGTCATGCGAACATTTTTTCCCCTTTTATTGAAATCCAATCAAAAAGAATAAATTTTCTTATTTGTATTATATTGATGTTATTGAAGTCTGGAGAGAGTTTGTTTGGGGAGCTATTGCTGGGGCTTTTGGGGAAGGAATGATGCATCCAGTGGATACCATTAAAACACGCATGCAAAGTCAAGCAATTATTGGTGGAATTCAGGTAAAATGACAGCTTGTAAATTCATTTAGACATTACAGTTATTGATGCTTGTTCAAACATTGGTGTGGATGTATTGTCTCTTGTAAGCTTAGCAACAAAAGCTACATGGACGCTGGTGTGTCATATGATTTAGTTTTAGCTAATCTTTGTCTTGGAATTTTATTCCTATCATCTAGAATCAGAAGAACATACTACAGATGGTGCGGTCTGTTTGGCAGGCTGATGGATTAAGAGGTATGCCTTTTTGAGTTATAATTGTCAATGCTTTGGCTATAAAATATGTTGATAATTTTGTTGATTTTGATTGTAAATCTTCATCATGCTAATTTACTGATGAATATATGCTCGATATTTTTCTGAAAAAGATTGTTAGACATAAAGGTTTGTACACCCTGGGCTATGTGCTTTGTAAATATTTGTCCTCCATGATTGATTTGAATTGTGCAGGCTTTTACAGGGGTATAACACCAGGTGTTACTGGGTCACTTGCTACTGGTGCAACATATTTTGGTGTCATAGAGTCCACTAAAAAGTGGATTGAGGACAGGCACCCTGGTCTTGGTGGCCACTGGGCACATTTCATTGCTGGAGCTGTTGGTAAGTCTGGATTCCATGCTTCCAGCTATTTTTATACCATCTTGAGTTTCAAAAGTTGTATATTTTGCAGGAGACACTGATGGACATGCTTAGGAAAGGACCTGTAACATATCTTCAAGTCACAAATTGTCGTTATGTATTGCTATAATAACTTGTGAATTGCTGTTCAATCTCATGTCTGGAACATGTTTTAGTATTTCATCATTCCACTCCGCTGCTGTATGATGTCATAATGTTCTTGTTGCTGGTACCAGTGCTTGTAATTGTGTATTTTATGCATCTACACTCATGAGCATTTGAGTATACTTCCAAGGGCTCAATCTCTGCCTTGTTGTCCATTCTTTCAGGAGATACACTCGGTTCTTTTGTGTATGTTCCATGCGAAGTGATAAAGCTACGCATGCAGGTTCAAGGCACAACCACATCTTGGAATTCTGTCATTATGAAAGATAGAATTTCGATGAAGCCTAGCACTCAAATATATGGTTACTACACAGGAATGTTTCGTGCTGGTTACTCAATATGGAAAGCGCAGGGCTTAAGGGGTTTGTATGCAGGGTAACGAGAATAGATCTCTTATTTTAATGGGGCGATCTAGCATTATTTATCATATTGCCATTGGAGGCCACCTTTTTCGTCTGGAAAATTGTTGGATGTGGTGAACTTTTCAACATTATATCTTGGGCACAAACCAAGCTACCCCCTTCTTGCAATGTCATGATTATGCATATATTTTGCTTTTCACAAGACCCAGAGCAGTTTACTAGTAGGTTTTGAGGCTTTTCACACATGCAAAGAGATAGGGGCATCTACTTGTTGGTCAATATAGAAGTCTGAATTCGTTCTTTCTTTTCTCTTGATTTCATGCATAAATATAAATCCTTTTCTTGTTTCTGGCAGATACTTGTCTACACTGGCAAGGGATGTCCCATTTGCTGGACTGATGGTATATACATGATCCATTGTTTTAGCAGATTCATGTCCCATTTCCTGACTCCTGAAAAAGAACCAGAAATTTTATCATGCTTTATTGCTTTTTTCCCCGTCCATTGAAACAAAGCGTTTTTACTTATAGGTCATGTTTTATGAAGCTATGAAAGAAGTGACAGAATATGGGAAGCAAAGATGGACATCAAGCTCGAATTGGCATGTTAACAGTTCTTTAGAGGGACTTGTGTTAGGAGGCTTAGCTGGTGGTATGTCCTATGCTTTCCTTCAATTAGCAAATTGTTCAGGTTTAATATGTGGTGCGAAATGATCTTATTCAGGTCTTAGTGCTTATCTCACTACTCCCTTGGATGTCATCAAAACAAGATTGCAAGTGCAGGGTTCAGCTATAAGGTAGCAGGTCAATTCTGTGTCTGTTCATTCAATTTATCGTGGTCCGAATTTGTCATGAGAATGCCTATATTATTCTTTTCCATAGAATAATCACGGAGTTGGGGATTATTCTTGTTTCTGGGGGACTGAGCTAATTTAATGCTGGTAATTATGTTTTGTTCTGTTGTTTTAGGTATAGTGGTTGGTTGGATGCGATCCGGAACATATGGGCTATGGAAGGCATGAAGGGGATGTTTAAGGGTAGCGTCCCTAGGATTACATGGTATGTTCCCGCTTCTGCGCTAACATTCATGGCTGTGGAATTCCTCAGAGATCATTTTAATGAAAGAGATGCGTGTGGAAATTTTCAAAAAGTTGCTACATTACAAGTGGACAAGAATAAATCTTCTGTATAGCGTTCGGGTAAGGTTTTCTGGCTGAATAGTGTTACTTCGCAACCGATTTTTTTGGGGCAATATTGTATGAATCGTTGAAATTCTTAGACATCTCAATACATGAAGAGAAAAACCAAGTGTGAGCTCAGAATGTTGAGCCTCAGGAAAATGAATGCGAAAATTATTATTTTTTGGGTCTTATATTTAAATTTTGTGATTAAGTTCATCAAGTTGAATTCTTATTACTCCTCCGGTTCTTATTATAAGACCCAATTTGACTTTTTATTTGGTCATAATTATAAGACCCAATTCATTTTCTCTCTTATATTTATGCATTTTTTTCCAAGATAATCCTTCTAATAATGATAGTTTTAGCCAATATACTTAATTAGTAAGGATATTTTAGGAATAACAACACTTATTTATTATAAATAACCAACTTAACTTACTTCCTTAATCTCCTCAAATAAGTCAATTGGGTCTTATAATTAGGACCGGAAGAGTATTATATTTTTGTCAGCGTTGTCTTGTCAGCGTGGGTGTGTGATAATTTTGTTGTGAAATAAACTGACTTGAAAAGTAATAGAAGTATTAGAAAAGAGATAACGTAGACTAGAAAAGGTCTTTGTATTATTTCACAACTTTTCATATTCATAGCAAATTTTATTTGCTGTTTTTATTATTTCTGGTGACATAAATTATGCATATTCTGAATGTTAAGATGACGTATAATTAGTAATCAGTAATATCGATACAAATAAATATTCCAAAATTTAGCAATGGCAATTGAATTAAAATTTTCATAAATTATAAAAGTAAGTAAATTTTTTACGAATAGTGAGAAATATTAAGATCCAAGTTGTTTAAATCTAAAAAGTAATTGTGTGAGAACAATAAATCAAATTTATTTAGTGATACACAATAAATGCCATGCATTTCCATAGCTTGCTCTTTATTTTTTGGTATCAAAAGAACTGATATTGATTGGCAAACTTTAAAATAAATTATCATCTTTTTTAAAGAAATTTAAAAACTTAAAATTGATTATTTTTTATTTTTAATATAAGATTTAATTAACTAATTTAAATAGATTAAAGATATTAGTTGAATTAGTTAATATAAGAGGGTTTTTTTTAAACACTATCTTTTTAATTTCTCCTTCTCTCTTCTATTTAATTATTGTTGAGTGAACATCAACATGGTTAATTTGAAGGAAAAATAGTTGATAATTACTCTTCTGGTCCTTAATATAAAATCCAATTATTAAATTGCTTTTAATCTTAAATATAAGACTCATTTATTATATTTATTAGTTTTCTTTAAATTATCTTTATGGATGTTCCCTCAACCATAATCAAGTAAAAGAGGAAAAAAAAAAAAAAAATGATATGATATTTTAGAAAAAAAACATGTCACATTTCTTATAATTAACTAACTTATCTAATCTAATCAAATTAGTTAAATGGATATTATATCAAGGAGTGGAAGAGTATATGAAATAATTCTTATATTTAGATAATTAATTAAGTGCACGTGTCGTTTCATATTTGCATTTGGAGTCTGAGGGTCATAGTACTTCTGATTCTATTTATAATTCATCTTTTGAGTTAGTATAAATTTTGGAGCGGAAAGAATCCCCAGCTGAGAGCGCGAAACGCTTTCTTATGCCTGCGTGAGCTTCAGTTTTTTGGGCCAACCTGGTGAGCCGCCGCGACGTTAAAAAAGGAAAAATTTCTGGGTCATCCGTTATCAATTTCAGGGGAGAAAAAAGGGTGCAAAATACGGTTCTCGCTGTAACTTGCACTGCGAGTCTCTTCTTGCTGTCTATGTGGGTCATCGATCATTCGTATTATTGGTTGCCGATTCGCTCATAGCAGCACCGGCAAGATTCACAGACTAAAGGCGGCGTCAGGAAATGGATGCCATTATGAACGTGAAAGGTCCAGGGAAGGATTAGATTAGATTAGATTAGGTCATAATGGCACTCACATTCGAAGATATTGGTTGCTGGGACCGAAAAGAGCATCAAAAGCTATCATGGACTATTACTACTGAATGCGCACACACCATGTGCCTATAAACACACCATGTGCGTATTCCATTACAGATAGACAGACAAACAGAGACTGTGCTAACATAGTAAATGAATCAAGCCGTTAAAGTTTTCTTTCTTTTCATGTAGATGAGGAAACAACCAACTCTGAACATGAAGTTCATTACATCATATTAGTCATCAACCAATGGAGGCATCGTTCATGGAATGGTGGGCTTGTTGGATCAGTTCATCAAATCAATTGTTCGTCTTTCTGGACATACCATCATCAAATATATATAACAGTTTAATTCCTTGTGAAGCTCTCTAATTTTGCTGGTAATATATCTTTGGGTTAAATTGCAAATTTGCTTTAAAAGTTTTTTTACTCAAAACCGATGTTGCTTCGAAGGTTTTTTTTTTTTTTTTGGGATTCAATGTCATCTTTTGCATCATTCCATTAAAAAGCTAAGAGTGACCATTAAAAAAAACATTGACTGCTGGTATTTTTAGTTGTGAGGGATAACGTTGCTCTATTTAATACTTTCGGGGCAATCTTAAATCTAAAGAGACTCTAAGACAACATGACTCTTGAATAAAAAATTCTAGAATTTGAACCTTAGCCCTATATTTTTTTAGTAGGTGGTCACACTTTTCAATTGCGATACTTGTTATTAAGATATGCAATAATATAATTAAGGGTTGTATGGCTAATTACTGTTGTCTCCTTCACACACAAAAAAGCATGCATGTATATTCATTAAAAAATGACATAATGAGCAGGAAAATAGCTTCTTTTTTTTTGAGAGAGAGAGAGAGAATCGTGATATTAAATTCTTAACAGCACGTACATCTACTTCTATATAACGTAAGCAAGCAGACAAGATTTCAGTACAAGCGCAGCTCAGCTCCCACTTGTGAAACGGTATAAATTGAACTATTATAGACATTCAAAATGATCACCAAAACAAGATACCGGGCAACAGATTAGTTTAAGTTTAATATTTGTCCCCTTTATGCAAAGTTTTAAACTTTAGTGCTTGTGTATGATAAAATTTATCATTAGAAATATTTCATCATATGTGATCTAACTCTATTTATATTACTTAGGGCTTATTTGTATTTATTTATTTTAAATATTTATAATTATTTTTACATAAGTGGAGACAAAATTCTCTTAACATATTTACTTAGTATTCCGTAAATTATGAGTAGAAAGTTGCTTATAACTTATTTCAAACAAATCCTTACAAAGTCTAACATGACCTTCCTATTTGAATCTTATATGTGAAAAAAATTGTGCCCAGACAAATTTTACACTCATAATCCATCTTGGCTAGTAATCGGAGCCTAATTTAATGATATGATTTTCTAAAACCAAGTGGCATTATTGAAGAAAAAAAAGAAGCTGATATGAAGGACTTAAAAGGAGACAAAATAAAAATGGTGCAGCACGTGATATGCATAGATATTCAGAAGCCAGAATTTAAAATTGGAATGGGGATTCTGCATATCATTATTGTTTTTATATTGTTTGTGTGACACGAAAATGACGCAACAGCCAAATGAGAACAGCCACACAGTCACACATTTCTCATGTAGATTCTCCCAAATACCATAAGTAGTGGCCCTCCCGCTCACACTGTCTAACATGTGACTCCATTTTCTAGACTGTTCTTCTTTTCCTGTTTACGTACTTGTCCAGCGTGACGTGGCTGCCATCAAATCATGAAAAAATCTCACCCAAAAAAAATTTAAATTTCTACATTTTTTTTTTCTAAAAATAGGGTGTAAAGTCCTAAAAAATCATAATTGTTAAAAATATCTCGAAACATAGTTTTAGGGGTGTTTGGGTGAAACCAAACTATGATTTGAAAAATAGCCGTTGGAAAATAAATTCATAAGATAATAGATTTCTGTGAAGAATAAATTTTATAAAAAAGTAATTCTGATAAAATGAGAATGTTCAAATAGTTGTTATCAGAAGTACTTTTTATATATGTAAATTACTAAAAAAAACATAAGTTAATATGATAATTAAATAAAAAATAGATTTTATATTATATTTTAATTTGAAGGAATAAAATTACTAATAATATATTTTTTACCAAAATATTAATAATATATAATATAATATAATTAATTAATAATTAATATGTGTATATATATTTATAAAATATGATATTAAATATGTTTATAAACAAATAATTGAGAAGTGTTAAAGTCATATTATCGTTAAAATCTACTCTGACAGGCACAATCATACTCTCCAATTTGAGTTACAAGCAGAATGGATTTACTCTTTCTGAAACTATGGTTTTGAGTCCCAGACCATGATTTTGACCCAAAATCATGGTTTCTATTTTTTTCTACGTGTTTGGCAAATCTGGGATCCAAACCATGATTTGGCTCCCAAACCATGGTTTTCTGTGTTACCCAAACAAGCTCTTGATGTTAAAAATGACAACTTCTCAACTATTATTCTTTTCAATTATCATTAAAAAAATTTTGTAAATATATTTTTTAACACTTCATTGTAATTTTCCTGTAAAATAAGCTATACATAAGTGCTTCGAGATTTCTGCTACAATATATTTTGGTGTATATATATGTGTGTGTATATACTGAGATTTTGAATAAATAAATACTAAATTTAATTCATAATATAGATTTATATTTGAAACCGAAAGTAGTAATAAAATAATTACTCAAATTAATATAAAATACTAACTTAACATGCTGCATTTATGCATTAATTATTGACATTACTAGTGTTTAGATCCAGCCAAAATGTGTTCTCGAAGTTTCAAGACGCTGGAACAATACATGTATAATTACTCCCAAGTTTCAACTCTGCGAGTTCACAAATGAGCAGCAATTGAGACTTCATGTACAGAATTCTACGATAAAATGCTCTTTCATTGAAAGAACTAAAACTACATTTAGTAAGAAACATTAAAAATAAGAAATTACAATTAGGATTACAATTAAAAAAATCTATTAAAAAAGCATTTAGTATAAAAAATTACTTCTTATATTATATGAAATTCATCAAACCCATATACATAAGATTAAAAAATACCATAAATTAGAAAATACCACAAGAAAAAAATGATATTCCTTAATCCTACCTTTATAAATTTGTCTAATTCCACATAACAAACAATTATTCATACTAAATACTATTTTAATAATTTTTTCAAATTATAATCCCAACCCCAATCTGTTATTTTTAATACTTCCTATCTGTCCCCTTGAAAGTAAAAGCTATGGATCTTTATTACCCGAGAAAACAAACCAGAGATAATAGCTTGTTCAAAAAGGCGAACGAAAATGAAATGCATTGGCGCCCCATGCTGATTAGTAAATTCACCTCGACAGAAAGAAAAGAGCCAAGGAATGAGACCAAGTTCTTATCAAAGTAATTAACTAACCTCTTAGAGAAGATCCAGAAGATGTACATGAAGAGAATTGGAAAAATAGAGAGAACAGAAGAGAATCCCATAAGCAACACTACTACTCAGAAAAGAATCAAAAGCCCATGAGGTAGCAGATAACAGAACCCAAAACTAATTTATAAAGACCTCATGTTCCTAGTTCAAGTTCAAAGTTCAACACCTAGTTAATCACTTCTGCACAGTGAAAACACAGCATCATGTAAACCCCATCATTGATGGCCAGAGTCATATCCCACTCACTGCTCTCATCCTTCAAATATTTCCCAGCCCCGCCCACTAGAGCCTCATCATCATCATCATGAAGCCTGAGAAGAGGATTGAGAATGCAGAGACTAAGATATGGCCCACAAGTCTCAGCCCCCCATCACTAGTGTCATCAGTGGTCATGCCAGCTCCAGTAGGTCCCATGCCATTGCCAATCCCTCCTAATACCCCCGGCGTTGAACCATAAGGCGTTGCCGTTGTTGTGGTAGTGCCTGAGCCGGTGGTTGTCCCGGTTCCAGTTCCTGTCCCAGTGCCAGTGCCAGTGCCAGTGCCAGTGCCAGTTCCAGTCCCAGTCCCAGTCCCACCGGTGTAAGGAGAGCCTGTGCCTGTGGTTGGTGAGGTTGTCCCAGTTGTAGGGGCTGTACCAGTGCCTGCATTACTGATTAGAGGAAAAAATGTCCAAACTCAATCAAGGAACTTAAAAACAGTAAAAGCCAGTAATTCTAAATTTGTATGTTGTGGCATAATAAGGCTGTCATTGCTGGAGAGGATCAAACCAATCAGCAACCTTAGCTCGTGTCTTTCATGAATTGTAAAGAATACGAAGGCAGAGAAGCTAGGAGAAGAGCAGAAACATGTAAATTCAATTATGAAGAACAAGCATTTTATGAGCATGGAAAATCTTTTCTACATAACCAGAAAACCAGTTCAGGCCCAAGAGTTTTAACCATCAAAAACAAATTTCTATCGATGTTTAACTTCCAGAAATCAAAGAAGAGACACAACAGATAGCAGTGGAAAACAACTTAGACAGGGGAAAAAAAATTAAAAACTGGTTTGAAGTCATTTCCAGGCAAACATTATTCCAGCAAACGACAATAGACGAGAAACCAATGAATACGATATATGTAGGCCAACCTAAGATGATTCAAATACACCACAGATCTTTGTACATGAGCAAAAAAAACAAACAAACGCACAAACATGCAAATATTACGGACAGTTTTTTTGAAAAGTCTTTACCTCATATGCTCATATGATAAATAGTGATTATAATAGTATAATGTAATTATCTTGGGTCAATATGTCTCGCTAATGTTCTTCCTAGGGAATCTGGGGCCCACATCCCCATGAGATAGTGCGGCAAGCAAGACGAATCAAAGAAAAGAGGACCCAAGTCCCGGCTAGTGGCTGCTACTCCCATTCCCATATGAGGCAGTGAGAGAGACTAGTCACCACACAAACCAAGAAAACAAGGACGTTTTCTCTAAACTTTAGCTCAGATTTCAAAGCAAACGTACATCTATCTACCTGGTTTGGTTTGGTTTGCTACTTACCAAATGGCAAATAAATAAAGAGCATTGGATAAGGGCTCAATTTTAACCACATAACAAAAGTTTAAATTTTGTGGTAATGATGCCCTTTTGAACTAGGTTTTTGTTCCGTTTGGTTTTTAAATTTCCTTTTTAGTGTACAAGAGCTGTAATGATGGCCTTTTTATTAATAGTAATGAGGTTTTACACTTTACCAAAAAGGTATGGAATCCCAATTATTGCAAATCTTTAATGATGTAAAAGTCTTGCTGCAACAGCCATGCTCATCAATAAACAGACAGTATGGGGCATAGTCATGAAATTTCAAGGCGGTGACAAATAAAAAAAAAAAGTTAAAAATACTGTTCATCCCCGCGGGGCCACATTAAAAGGACGAGGGGAGATAAATTTTATAGTAAAAGCGGTGGTTAAAAAAATATTATAATAAAATTACGAAATTCAACTACTTTTTATTGAAACTCCATGCCCATTCCGTTAGCCTGAAGAAATGAAAAACGTCTAATAAAAAAGTATGAAAATATTTTTAAAACTAAACATTTTACTACACATACTTTTAAGCTCCCGTTGGCTCTTATGAAATTTTTCGTTTGCCTCTAGAATGTTAGAAAGAAGCAAATATGCGAAAATATAAAATCCCACCGCTTTTGTGGAATTTTTTTTTTTTTAAAAAAAAAAAACCACCGCTTTCAAGTTCCAACTTTATTATTTTGCCGGACGTCATCTTTTTCAAGGAAATTAACCAGTGTTTTCCCTGTGGCCGAATACCCTCACGGCTATAATAATTATCTCATGGCATCACCTTTTCAATCCAACGAATAGCCCACATCGCCATCTCCAACATCACAAAGCTATATGTGAAAATCAAATGGCAAAAAGCCTAAATCTACAAGCTTTACAAGCTGCGAATATGCCCATCCCAAACCTCCCTACCCCATTCCCTCAAAAAGATCCCTTTTGTGCAAAATAAATTCATGGAATTTAAGAAAGAGACCTGGATCAGGTACCCACATCAAACCAAGGATTAAAGAACATAAGAACGCTGGATCGAAAGGCTGGAAGAATCACATTCCAAGCTAAAAAGGAATGAAAGAAGTTTAAACCAAAAAAAGTTGCAGATCAAAACACATACCTAGCGCTTGAAGGGTAGACACAACCAGAACTACCTGTCATCAACAACAACAAAACAAACGTTAAACTTCAAAACAGAGTCATCCCAGGTAGCTCTAGTTTCTCTTCTTGGTTCTTTAGTAAGTAAAGAAAATATGCAATGCATATTATCAAGGGAAAGTAAAGAAAGAAGAAAAACGAAGTTGGGGTTTAAAGAGTTACTGGGGTCAGATGCAGTAACGGTGGCCGTTCCGGCGAAGTCACAGGTCCCTGGGCCTTGACCTTTCCTTTGGAAAAAACTGTTCACGGCGTAGCTGCAGTGAGCCCTAACGTTGTCAGGGTTGAAACAAGGTCCGTTTTGATGGATGGGGGTACAGTCAGCCCCAGCTCCACAAGCATAGTCCAGTGTCTTTTGAAGGATTGTGTCACTTCCTTCTTTGCAAACACACCAATTAGCACCTTTCAAAATCAAAGAGAAAATGTGAGTGACACTGACCCTGAAACAGACACAGACACATCCTCTACATACATATAAAGGCCAATCCACAAAAATATGCAGCAAGAAAGTGCAAAGGTCTCGCCTTTGAAGATTCTGCCACAAAACGAAGAGGAAAGAAATAGATCAAAATTATCAGAACCCCTCACCAGGAAAGAGATATAGTAGCGAACAGATCAGGTAAGTTAAAAAGAAAAAGAAAGACAAGATCTTTAACCCACAAAGAGAAAGTGTAGCTTTGCAGCTTCAAACGGGGGAAAATAAAAGACAGAGGGGGAAAATGAAAGAGAGTAAATCAGTTTGAAGGCGTACTTGTGGAACCAGAGAAGGCCAAGAGAAGCACTGCAAGAGCTAGAGCAGCCATGTTAGCTAGCTAGAGGAAGAAGAACGGCTCAGAACAGAGAATGGTGAGATAGAGAGGGGTTGTTAGCGATACTGAGCAGAACAGAAAGAGTGGTGCAGCTAAGAGAGGGAGAAGAAGAGGAAGAGGGAACAATGGTGGTGGGTGCTTGACAGAGGTGAGATCAGATGAGAGTGGTGAAGAATATGAAGACAAATATAAAACATATGGAGATTGATGTAAAGTTGTGAACGGTGGCGTGATAGTGGCCCCGTTTAGTGTCGACTTGTGGGCGTAGCGTGGCAACTTTTTGGTAGTTTCGAATTCAAGCTATAAACTGCAAGTTAATAATACTTAGTTAATACTAGTTAGTATTAATTATATTAAATAATTAGTGAATTATTTTTTTAATCACGCTCCATCCTTTCTTTACCTTATATCAAGGAACGAAACAGAAACAGTCTCGCTGGGACTCGCGAAAGCTTTGCCAGTGTGAGTCCTTAAGCAGTGAACTGACCTCTGAAAATGTGTCCCTGTTGTATCCTTTTTCGATTGCTTTTGTCATTTGTGTTACGACTTTCGGTATCCAAAGCGAACCAGAGGGAACAAGTTCAAACATTTTTCTTGACCACCCCTCCCTAGGGTCTAGGAGTCTAAATTCACCAAAATAGCTGGAAGGTTAATGAAAATAATTAAATATAAAACCTGTTTTTACGTGAAGAGAAAATAAATGTAAAGCCTGATGTTTCAAGTTAGTACTGATACAGTGATATTTGAATCACAAATTCTTTTTTACGGACAAACAGTGAAAAAGTACAGTTCTGCGGGCAAAGACGAGAGCATGGGTGGTGGATATGATGCAGATGCGAAATTTTACTTCCGTGGGGCCCGCCTGATTCATTGTTGCTTTGAACTGTACGGGCCATAAATAATGACCCTGGTTTGGACTGTGATGTGGGTTTTTCTGATCATCTTCTCTTGCTGAAAACCTCAGCGACAATAATGGATCCCCGGTATGCAGAAAAGGGGCAGGGATCAGAAGTTGGTCCCATATAAACCAGCTGGATAGAAGAAAACCGAGAGATTTCACCAAAACAAAGCAATAAAAAGGAAAACAGAGAGATGATGAGTGAAAGAGATAGATTAGCCAAATAGTTACGACCGTTTCACATGATTTATATATAACTTTTCAATCTTACCTCAACTAAGGGTGTGTTTGGATGAAACCAAACCATGATTTGGAGAATAGCTTCTGGAGAATAGATTCTGAAAAAAATAGATTTTGGGAAGAATATATTTTGTGAAAAAGTGATTTTAAGAAGTGTGAGTGTTTGGATAGTTGTTATTAGAAGTACTTTTTATATACAAATTGGCATAAATTAATATGATAATTATAGAAAAAATATATTTTATGATATATTTTAATTTGAAGGAATAAAATTGTTAATAATATATTTTTTATTAACATATATTAATAATATATAAGATAATATAATTAATAAATAATTAATATGTATATATATTTATAAGATATAAGATTAAATATGTTTATAAAAAATATATTTATAAAAAAAATAACAAGATATATATCCTATAGGCTCTCACACTCTCTCTTTTTTCTCCAAAAGTAAAAAATTTCTGCTTTTTCCAAAATCATGGTTTTAGAGTCAAAACCATGGTTTTGATTTTTTTAAGGGTGTTTGGCTAACATTTTTCCCAAACCATGGTTTGGGGAATAATCTACCCAAACACCCCTTCCAAAAACCAAAACCATGGTTTTGAAAAAAGCAAAATTTTTTTGCTTTTGGAGAAAAAAGGAAGAGTGTGAGGGCCTATATGATATGTATCTTGTTATTTTTTTTATAAACATATTTTTTATAAATATATTTAATCTTATATTTTATAAATATATATACATTAATTATTTATTAATTATATTATCTTATGTATTATTAATTATGTTGGTAAAAAACATATTATTAACAATTTTATTCCTTCAAATTAAAATATATCATAAAATCTATTTTTTCTGTAATTATCATATTAACTTATGTCTTTTTTTAGTAATTTGTATATATAAAAAGTGCTTCTAATAACAACTATCCAAACACTCTCACTTCTCAAAATCACTTTTTTACAAAATCTATTCTTCACAGAATCTATTTTCCCTAGAATCTATTCTCCAGAATCACTTTTTCAAACCACGGTTTGGTTTCATCCAAACACACCCTTAAAATGAGATGCCAAGCAGGGCCTCAGCAGTTCCGCAATCCAAAAGCTGTGATAAGAGATCCACTGAGAAGCTATCGACGATGGTGCAACAAAACTAAGAATGCATAATCTAAGTAAAACAATAACAAATGAATGCCTGTAAAACAAATGATCCATGATTTGGAATAACAACAAATGTACATGGCTCTCTGCGTGCTGTTTACTGTGTTTATGTTTTGGTTTTACGTGAGGGATAATTACAGGGCCGATAATTGCAGGGCCGTTCGGTTGGGTGCAAGGAAAAATTATCAGAGACTCGTTCCTGTCATAGTGTATACTTCGTTAACTTTTGTGCAATTTATGTTAAAGCTTGTTGCAGCAGAGAGCTGTGAAAATTAATTACTGATCTCCAACCCCAAATTGTTAATGAACGGTCAATTTTGTCCTCAACTTTCTAGGAGGAAAGACACCAACTACCCTCCTACTTGCCGTACATCTCTTTCCGAAGCAACCTTTTCCTTTTTTTTTATAAATACTAAATAATATTATTTCCGATTCTTAATATAATATCTTTTTTATTTTTTATTTTGATTCTAAATATGAAATCTTAGTTGACTTTGTTTATCATATTTATATTTTTTTTTAAGGTAGTATTTCTGACAATAGTAATTCTAACTAATACACTTGATTAGTAAGGATATTTTAGGAAAAACACACTTATTTATTACAAATAACTAACTTAACTTTTTTGTAATATCCTCAAATTAGTCAATTAACTCTTATTTAGAACAGGAGGTACTATTAGTAAATAAAAGAAACAAGAACACAGATACAGTGGTTATTCTTTTGATCAAGATTCACCCCATGAATTTAAGGTGAAAATCGATTAAAGATACCAAAAAAAAAAAATTTCCAGCCTTCAATAAGCGCATATGATTGGATGCTATGTGCTAGGAGTGTTCATGGGACGGGACGGGACGGGACGGGACCAGGACAGGCCCGTCCCAGTCCCGTCCCGGTGAACAGGGACGGGACAGGGATTTTGTCCCGTGTCCCGTCCCGTCCCGTCACGCTTCCCCCTTTTTTTAAAAAAAAAAAAGATACCATAATTTTTTATATGAATTTTTTTATGTTATAATACTTATTTTTTATTGGGCTTTTAAAGATAAAAACATTATAAAAAAATATTATGTAGAAAGCTTAATTATATAGCATAAAAAAGGTGTAAAAATAATACTGTAAAAAAAAATATCGTAAAAAAAACACTATATAATGACTTTATGAATTATTTTATTGAGGAAGGAGATTTTGTTGAGATAATACTACAACTTAAGAGCTACAAATCACCATAAAAATAAGAGTTATTATTAATAAATAAATTGAATAATCTAATAATAATTATTAATAAATAATTTAAAAAAAAAAATCCTGGGACGGGACGGGTTTTTGTCCTGTCCCTAAATTTTTTTTGTCCCGTTCCGTCCAGTCCCGAACTCACTGGGACCGAGACCGGGACGGGACAAATTGAACATCCCTACTATGTGCCCGCTACACACGTCGATCACTGTGTTTTGGTTTTATGTGTCAGTGATAGTAACAATGTCACAAGGTTGCTACTTGCTAAGTTGGTAGCGCATGTCCACGGGTTTTGTAAGCCAGCAGCCGCAAACTCTTTTATAAAGGAGAGATAACGAGTTCAATTCAATTAGTAATTTTAACGGTCAATGGTTAGCAAAAGTTGGTTATAGTGAAAGAAGTTAAGGAGAATTACAAAAATATTACCAATAACTTTTAATGACAAATGAGTAGTAATTATATTAAAACTTGTCATTGTAAACTGTTTTGTCGTTGTTGATATGTTTTAGTTATTATATTTTTTCCCTCATGAGTCCGGAACTATTCTCTCGTTAAGTTAGTTTTCTGCAATGTCATAAATTGAAGTTTAAATCTTTATTAAGAAATGTGTTAACATTTAGTATTTGATAATATCTTAATATTTTTGCTTATAAAAAAAATTAACCACCAATGTCTACATTTTTAATTCAAAGGAAGAAAAAAAAAAAACAACAGTGCATGAGATCATACGTGGTTTGGTAGTTGCTAGAGGCACCATTTTGTTGCAAACCTAATTACAAATATCAAGGTGTGTGTATCACGACCCCTTTCTCCCATGCCTTCCCATTCACCAAACCGAGCAGCTTTTCAGAAATTTGAACTTCTTCAGCGCCTTGTTGCGCCACCTCCTCAAAACCCCAGTTTCATATCACGGTTGTTTAACAGACATTCTTTCCACGTTCCCTATCAAGTTCAGGCCACGACATTCAACTAGATTACATCATGCGAAAAGAATTTGTGTAGTTTGGGCTCATTTATAATTTTCAACCGTAATTTATAAAATACGATGAGTCATTAATGAGAGTTTTGTACTTACGTGAAGTGTTGATACCTATAGGTCCAAATTAGAAGGGTCAACTCGGCTCTTTGGCGACTCCCTCTCGTGCCTGCAGTCATAAATGCGTGTAAACCATCTTCATGGTAGTTTGGATACACTCTTAAAAAAGTCGTTTTTGCACTTTATGAAACAAAAAATTTCTTGTATGCTTACTTCTTTTTTTAGGAGAATGACAAAAAAAAAGAAGCTGAAAATTACAAATCCTAAATCAAGTTTGGTAATAAAATTTTATTTGGTATTGACAAGTCTGAATTTGTAAATAACAACAAATTTCTGTTGATATTTTTTGTTTGGTATTTATAAAATTCAGTTTCTTTTTTTATCATTGACCCTGCTTCTTTTGCCACAAAATAATTTAGAACAAGTTAACAATATGGGCTTGAAGCACTGCTGCATCTACTTCTTCGTTTACCGCTCAATTGGCGAGGTTTTGAATAGCCAACCAAAGAAAGGCTGAGAAAATCATAATTGTGTACGGTGTATTATGGCCTTTGCACCAATAATCTTCTGAAGTTCGACGCTTCAACGACTCTCGCTCCGGTGCACGAGACAACG